ATCTCCCTATTCGAGTGGTGGTTTGGACCTTCCACCAGGTGTGCTTTGATTTCTTCGTTGAAGTAACCCTAGAAAAAGGAAAAAGGGGAGGGGGAAGAAACATTATCCCGTACAAAGACAGAAATGAAAAGGGTGGGAAAAAAGACCAGGCAGAGAATCAAAGAAACTATAAGGCTTAATCCAGGGTGGGATAAAGAAGAAGGAGATAACAGAAAAAGTGTAAAAAGAATAGAGTGATAATGCCTGATTAAATGAAAAAACAACCAGAATAGAGAAAGAAAAAAATATATATATAAATAAGAATTAACCAAAAATCAATCAGAAACCATGAGGGGGGAAGAAAAAAGGAGGAGAGTAGGAAGAAAAGGAAAAAGAGAAGAGAAGAGGAAGAAATAACAAAATAAAATTTAAAAAACAGACTGCCATACAAAAACCGCAGGGCCATTGTGTCAGCGCCTGGGACCAGAGACGGCGCTGTCTGGAGGAGAGGTTGGGTCAGGGTCAGTCTCACCCCGGTAGGTAGGCACTTACCAGGCACAGAGGGGCGGGTCTGGTGGGAGCGGGTCCGCCGCCACTGGGGGCCGTGTCCTGCTCCCTGAAGCCCCCCTGTGTTGGTGATGGGGAGACAGATGCAACCCCCCAGGCTCCCCTCCCAGACTGCCCTGTTGAGGCAGCCCTCACAGAGCCGAGCGGGTGGCTGGCTTGTCCTGCTCCGCAGTCTCCCGTGCCTCCCAGGCGCCTGGCTGGGATTCAGAGGGTCCCAGCGTCCTAACGGGTGCCGCTCTGCGTGGGCCTGGTTCTAGAGGCCACTCTGCCCGGCTGACAAACAGCCTCTGGCTGGTGCCTGCAAGGTCTTTTGTCCTTGTGGGGGAGGGGGGGCGATACACCCTCTTCCCGCAGGACTCAGGGGAGAGGATTGCTCTCTCCCAGTGCACCCCTGAGATTGCTGCTGCGCCTCGGGGCGGCTCCTCCCCGCCAGGCGCATGCACACAGCTCTGGTCTGCAGAAAGTCGCACACCCCTGATAATTACGATCTTTAGTTCCTAAAGCTGTTTGCAAAGTAGAAACTGGTACTCTCTGTATTTCTCGTTCCCCAGTCCAAGCTCCGGAGAGGTTTTTGTCTTGTCCAAATACACTACCACGCTTCCACAGCCTCTCTTTCTCTTCTTCCTTTTGTCTGTCCACCAGCGGGATTCCGCCCTCCGTGCCTACACCATTTTCTTTCTCCCAGTTCACACGCACGCACCTCTGTCCCGCCAGGCTGTCTCTGTCCACCATGTGGAGATTTTTCAGTCTCTCTGCAGACTGATTCTGTGGGTGTTCCAAGTGTTGTGACCTCAATACTGCTGTGTTTGAGGGACGAGGGAAATTGCTGTCCCCCTACCTCTCTGCCATCTTGACTCCTCTGCAAATCATGTTTCTGATAAAGGACTTATATCTAGAATGTATACCTGTTATAACTTAGTAGGAAGATAATCCAGTTAAGAAATGGATAGGGGCGCCTGGGTGGCTCAGTCAGTTAAGTGTCCGACTTCGGCTCAGGTCATAATCTCACGGTTTGTGGGTTCAAGCCCCACATCGGGCTCTGTGCTGACAGCTCAGAGCCTGGAGCCTGTTTCAGATTCTGTGTCTCCCACTCTCTCTCTGCCCCTCCCCTGCCTGCACTCTGTCTCTCCCTGACTCAAAAATAAATAAATATTTAAATTAAAAACAAAAAAAAGAAATGGATAAGAGATTTTGTAGACATTTAAGCAAAGAAGACATAAAAGTGGTTAATATGCTCAATGTCATGAATCCATTAGGGAAATAGAAACTAAAACCATAATGAAATCCCATTTTACACCCACTAGGGTGGCTGCTATCAGAAAGGCAGGCGCTGGCAAGTGCTAGCAAGGACATGAGGAATGGGGCCCTCGTACTCTGCTGGTAGGAACAAAAAACATGTGGCAGTTTCTTAAGGAGTTAAACACAAGCCACCCATACAACCCTGCAATTTTCCTAGCTGTATGTGGAAACCTCACATGCATCACGCACAAGGATTTGTACGTGAATGTTCATAGCAGGGTTACTCATGACAGCCACGCCGGGGAACAGTGCAAACAGTCAGCTAGACACAGTGTGGCCGGCCGTACAGGGATGTTCTGGTCAGCCGTGAGAAACCATGAGCTCCGGCACCTGCGACAGCGCAGGAGACGCCTGGAAGCACCTTACAAGGCCGGGAAGTCAGAGGCCGAAGACTGCATGTTGCGCGATTCCATTTGTCTGCGATGTCCCCCAGGGCCCAGTCTTAGGAGCAGGCGGTGGTTGGGGGCCTGGTGCTGGGCAGGAAAAGGTGGAGCACAAAGCAGCATGTGGTCTTTATGAGGTGGCGAAAATGATGTAAAACTGGATTTTGGTGGTGGCTGCACAGCTCTGTATGTTTATTAATACTATGGAAGTAAATACCAAAGACATAAATAAATTATACTGCAATGAGGCTGTTAAAAACACACCTTGAGTGTATGTAAGTAGGTGACACACTCATGTGGTTCAGAGTTAACGTCTGAAAGGTATGCCCTGCGCACCCCTGCCGCCGCGCCTGCTGCCCCCACGCAGACCTGAGTGCAGCTCAGTTTCTTACCACACCCCCATTCCTTAAATGTGACACTTGTCACAGCCCAGAACTGGGTTTTTTAAAAAATCAAATGAGAAAATTTCTTTAACTGACAAGTTATTTTACATCTTCCATTTACCGTGATTCATGGCAATTCCGAGTTTATTTGTGCTGTTCATTTATGTTTTTTAATGTTTCCCCCCCGTTCCTAACATCTATCAAAGTAGTTTTTTTTCAATCTCTTTTTTGCCTCTACTTAGCAGTTAGTGGCAAGTTATGTCCTATTTGTATTCTTTTAGTGGCTGTGAAATTCTAAAATGAATGTTTACATTTTCTAAAGGTCTGAAGTTAACGAGTGTCTCCCCTTCCCGAACCACACAAGGGCCTTGCTCACTTTGCCTGGGGGTCACCTCCTACCTCCCCTTCTCCTCTTCCCATACCTAATCCGGCCGCAGGCTCTGGGCCGGCTCTGCCTTCTGTGTCTTCACATGTCTTCCTCCTGGACAAGGGTCTCTTTTCTTCAACTGTGTCCTCGCCTCGTCATTTTCTCTTTTGTTTAGAGATGGCTCGATTTCATTTTAAGTCTTGAGTGGTAATTTCTCTGCAGGTTTTCTTCTAGTGCCTTGCTTTCCAGGCTCGTGGCCACTTCTGGAGAGCCGCCCACTGCCCCTTCCTGGGTCCTTCCCCACTTCTGTGTAGGTGTATGGTTCCTTTTTTTTTTTTTTTAATTCTTTTGCTTCCTAAATTTCAGAGAGTATGTCCTCTATCATTCTGGGGAGATCCTTAGTCGTTGTTTCTTAAATTTTGCCTTTCCCTTTTTCTGCCTTCTTCTTCCAGAACTTATTACAAGTTTGTCAGATGCCTCAGTCTATTACCCTGTGTCTTTTCCTTTGTTTTGTTAGTTTAATTGATATCTTGGTCTCTGTACTTATTTTGCGTAATTTCCTCATATTGATCTTTTAGGAAATTAGTCTGTCTTCAGCTGAAACTAATTTGTGGTTCAATTACCTACTGAGTTTTTAGTCTAAGTGACTGTGTTTTTATTTTTAGAAGCTGTATTTGCTTATCTTTTATACTTGCCTGTTCTTTATTCATAGTATGTTCTGTTTTGAATTACTTCTTTTGTATCTCTAGTGATTTTAGGCCTACATGTTTCAATTAATTCCTTGTTAATTCTTTTCTCTGAATTTTTGAGAGTCTGATTGTACCAGTTTTAACATTTTTTTTAATGTTTATTTATTTTTGAGAGACAGAGTGTGAGTGGGGGAGGGGCAGAGAGAGAGGGAGACACAGAACCTGAAGCAGCTCCAGGCTCTGAGCTGTCGGCACAGAGCCCGACGTGAGGCTCGAACTTTGAACAGCGAGATCATGACCTGAGTCAAAGTTGGACACTTAACCAAATGAGCCACCCAGGCGCCCCTGATTGTGCCATTTTTTTGTGGCTGCTACTGGAGTTACTCACTGGCGAGCACTGTATCCACCAGGGCCTTCTCGGCCATCCTTTGTGGCCTGGGGATCCTTCCTTTTGCATCTGCCAGGCATCTGGCATCGCAGGCTGCTAGAGTCCCTTTCATTTAGTTACTTGTGGTTCCTTGTCACATGACATACTGTGATCCCCTGAATTGTTGGTCATCCAAGAGGAAACTGTGAGCTTTCAAACTTTGTGGCTTTGCTCGTGGTTTTTCCTGTGCCAAGAGCACTTTTTCTCTAGTGAGTCTCCATCCTCCTTCAAGGCCTTGTATCACACTACTTCCTTTGTGAAGCCTTTCTTGGTGCCTCACGCGGAGTCAGGGGCACCGCCTCAGCTGGCTGCGTGTCCTTCCTCCTCATGCCCGCAGAGCCTGTGGGCAGATGCGTGTGCGTCCCACCAGCCAGAAGCTCAGGACAAGGCTGCAGTATGTATCAGCTAAACTCCGAGACCAGCACCATCTGGACAATGAATAAATCTTAGATTTCCTTTAAATCTTTATTTATTTTTATTTGAAAGAGAGGGAACACACGCAATCAAGGCGGGGGTGGGGGGGGAGGGAGAGAGAATCTCAAGCAGGCTCCATGCCTAGTGCGGAGCCAGACGTGGGCTTGATCCCATGTCCCTAGGGTCAAGTCCTGAGCTGAAATCAACAGACGCTCAACCAACTGAGCCACCCAGGCGCCCCTCAAATTTACTTTAAAGTACTATGTTTATAAGATAGAATTAACACGGTTAGATTATATTTCACAAAATGATAAACAGAGATTTTAAGATAATGTATGTAAAATGAGTAAAATAGAACCCTTTCCCACAGTTTTGAGGTCAAACAGATTTCTGATTTCACAAAGCCTGCATCCTCACGTTTGACAGAATGAGTAGGCCCTGGAGAAGGGCCCCCGAGAGGCGGGGCTGCCCAGCTGTGTGCTTCTCCCACAGGTGAGCATCTGCCTGGAATGCAACAGCAGCAAACTGCGGGGCTTGAAGCGAAAGTGGATCCGCTGCTCGGCCCAAGCGACCGTCCTGCACCTGAAGAAGTTCATCGCCAAAAAACTTAACCTTTCATCTTTCAACGAGGTAATAGTTAAGCCACAAATAGAAACTATAACAAATCAGTTCTCTTTTGTAAAAGCGATACTTCTACGGTTCTTTATGGGGGGGTTTGTTAGGAGATTTTAAGTCAGAAAACAAAAAGCTCAGTTTGTTTTACGTGCCCCCAGACAGTGTGACTGGGGTCATGGGGAGGACGAGAGTGGAGGGAAGGCCAGGCCGAGCACGGGGAGCCCCCACAACGGGAAGTGGGGGCGGTGTGACGCGTGCTAGAGGGTTTCATCTCAGAGAGAGACTCTGTTCTTTCATTTCACAAACAGGTGGCTGACTGGCTGGGGGGTGGCGGTGAGCAGGCGGGCAGGGGGAGATTTTGTGGGACATGACGGGCCCCGGGTGTGCGCAGGGGACCGGTGGACAGAGTGCTGGGCGAGCACTTATGCTAAGATGTCCCTTGGCAGTAGGAGCCAGTTGTGCATAAATAAGTGCGAAGACAAAGCGCTGGGGGGTCTTGGGCCGGAAACCTCACTGTAAAATAGCCCTCGGGCCATGAGGAAAGTGGATCACTGGGGCCCAGAGACAGAAGCAGGAGAGGCCGGCAGGGGCGTCTGTGGCAGGAGTCCAGGGGAGATGGGCCGGGGTGGGGGAGGGGGCGCTGCGGACGGCAGAATTGGACAAACTTGAGGAATGTTTCAGAGAGAGTAGTAGGTTGAACAGTAGCCCCCAAAATAGGTCCACATACCCCAGAATCTGTAAACGTGACCTTTTTGGAAAAAGGATTTTTTCTAAATTAAGTAAAGGTCCATAATTAAGATAAGAATCATGAGATGAGATAACCCGTGAATGGACCCTAAATCCAATGATAAGTGTCCTTACAAGAGAGAGCAGAGGAATTTGAGACACACACACACACGGGAGAAAGTGATGTGAGGGCAGAATCACAGGGAGTGATGAGGCCACCAGCCCAGGAGCTCCTGATCTGCCCGAAGCTGGAAGAGACAGGAGGGACCCTCCCCTAGAGCCTCCAGAGTGAGCTCAGCTTGGCCTGGGCCTTGACTTTGGGCTCCGGCCTCCGCATCTGTGAGGAAGTAAATTCCTGTTGTTTTAAACCACCGGGTTAGGGCACTTTATCACAGCTGATACAGGAAACCAGAACAGATTTCGGTACCAGAAGTGGAGTGCTGCTGTAACAAATACCTTAGAAACGTGGACATGGCCTTGGACTTGAATAACAGGTAGAGGCTGGAAGAATTTTGAGAGACACGATAAAAAAAGCTGGATTGTCATGAAGAGACTGCTGCTGGAAATATGGTCACTAAAGGTGACTCTGGTGGCAGCTCCACAGGAGGTAAGGGGCACCAGGGAGACCCCTCTGTCACCTTGGAGGATACATGTCACCACAGGCACAACGTTGGTAGAAACTGGAATGTCAAATATGCTTCTGACGAGGAAGAGAGGACGCAGAAGAAAAGCAGTCACCATCACACGGTGGCAGGAAGCCGGGGGGTCAGTGCTGTGCGACCGCATGGAGGTGATAAACTTGGGTGTCTAGCCAAGGAGATCCCCAAGCCAAGTGTGAGGGTGTGGCCTGCTGTCTTCCTGCTGCTCTCAGTAAAATATGAGAGGAGATGTGAATTGGGGAAGGGACTGCTAAGCAAAACAGAGCCAGCACTTAGACCTGTCACGACCGCAGAGACCAGAAGCCAGGGCTTCACTGCTGGGAAGGCACACGCAGTGTGGGAGGGAAGCCGGAGAGTGTGGCTAGATAACCTTTTGCTGAAGACACTAGTTGTGTGACTCAACTGTCTCACAGAAACTAGGAATGGATCTGTAGAGGACCGTCCTGTCTGATGGCCTGGATCCCTGACATATATGGGAGACCCACAACGTTTTTGAGAATGTTGTACCAACAGAATGAGCATCACCTTTTCCTGAAGGGGACAGAGACAGGAAGAAATGAGAGCAGGCTGTCAGATTTCCAAAATGTTGCAATCAGGAGATAGGCTGATAGAGCTACCCAGCTGCAAACCTTCACGACCCTTCACGAAAAAGGAGGAATGACTCCCAGGGCAGAGCCTTAGGCCCAGACAGTGAGGCTGTCACAGGCCCAGAGAACAGAATCTCAACCTACAGTGTTATTTTCAGGCCTCGAACCCTCGTGGAATTTTTCCTGCTGAGTTTCAAACTTGCTGGAGACTGTGACCCCTTTATTCTTCTAATATTATTGCCCTTTGGAGTAGGAATGTCCTGTATTTTTCCCAACCTTGTATATGGGGAGCAGACTATGTGATTTTAGTTTCACAGGACCCACAGGTAGAGAAGAATTTCAGCCCAGATTCATCCTACCCAGAGCCTCACCTCTGCCTGATTCATATGCTTTGGAAGGGAAGGTCTGGGATGTTGGCTAATGGTGTCTGAGAAGATTTTGGAATTTGGAGTTGATACCAGAATGGGTGGAGAATGTTGGGATGGGGTGAGTGTATTTCACATGTGGGATGGATGTGGATTTGGGGGGACCAGAAGGCAGACTATAGTGGGTGAAACGATGACCCCACTAAAAGATATGTTCATTTCCTAACCCCTAGAACATGTGAATATGACATTATTTGAAAAAAGGTCTTTGTCAATGTGTCAAGAAGCTTGAGATGAAGAGATCATCCTAGATCCTCCAGCTGGACCCTAAATTCAGTGACAAAGGTCCTTATAAGAGGAATGGCAGACATAAATTATCTCAGATTTTACAAGATACATACCTGTAAGGTAAGCACCTTCTCTGACCACAGCAGCATGACATTAGAAATTACTAACAGAAGGAAAAGTGGAAAGTTTACAAAATTGTGGAAATTAAACAACTCACTTTTTAAAAAATATTTTATTTATTTCTGAGAGAGAGAGAGAGAGCATGACAAGGGGAGAGTCAGAGAGAGAGGGAGACACAGAATCTGAAACAGGCTCCAGGCTCTGAGCTGTCAGCACAGAGCCCGATGTGGGGCTCGAACCCACGAACCGTGAGCTCATGACCTGAGCCGAAGTCGGACGCTTAACCAACTGAGCCACCCAGGTGCCCCTTAAACAACTCACTTTTTTTTTTTTTTTAAGTGTTTTATTTATTTCTAGGAGAGAGAGAGAGAGAGATAGCGTGAACAGGGGAGGGTCAGAGAGAGAGGGAGTCACAGACTGAAACAGGCCCCAGGCTCCGAGCTGGCAGTCAGCACAGAGCCCGACGCGGGGCTCGAACCCACGAACCATGAGATCATGACCTAAGCGAAAGTCGGACGCTTAACCGACTAAGCCACCCAGGTGCCCCAAACAACTCACTTTTAAACAAGTAATGAATCAAAGAGAAATTGGAAAATATCTACTGACAAATGAAAACGAAAACACAACTTACCCAAACTCATGGGGTACAGCAAAAGCAATGCTAATGAGAAATTTATAACTATAAATACATTAAAAACAAGAAAAGTCTCATCAATACCCTAAACTTGCAACTTGAAGAAATAGAAAAAGAGCTAAACCCAAAGCTAGCAGAAGGAAGTAAATAATAAAGATTAGAGCAGAGATAAATGGAATAGAGAACAGAAAAACAATAGAAAAATTCAGCAGTTCTTCAAAAAGGTCAACAAAGTTGACAAACTTTTAGCTAATGGACTAAAAAAAAAAATTACTAACATCTGATATGAAAGTGGAGGCATTGTTACCAGTTCCATTAGAAATCAAAAGGAAAAAAAAAAAAATCAAAAGGATTGTGGGGTGCCTGGGTAGCTCAGTCAGTTAAATATCCGACTCCTGATTTCGGCTCATGTTATGATAAATAACTAACTTTAAAAAACAGAAATAAAGATCATAAGAGAGTACAAATAGTTGTACACCAACAAATCAGATACCTTTACGTGAAATGGACAAATTCCTGGAAACACCGAGCCTGCAGAGACTAAATCACAGAGACACAGAAAGTCTGAATAGACCCATGACTGGTACAGAGACGGAATCAGTGATCCAGAATCTCCCAGCAGAGGAAAGCCCAGGACCTGTCGGCTTCACAGGTGAATTCTGTCAAATATTTAAAGAAGAGCTAACATCAGTCCTCCCCAAACTTTTCAAGAAAATTAGAGAAACTCCCCAACTCATCGTGTGAGGCCAGCATTACCCTGATACCAAAGCCAGACAGACGCTGTAAGAAAACTACAGGCCAACGTCCCTTCTGAACGTTGATGCAGAATCCTCAGCATAATGCTGGCAAACAGAACTCAGCAATGTGTTGAAAAGACTGCACACCACGACCAAGTGGGATTTATTCCTGGAAGGGGAGGAGGGCTGAACATACTAAAATTGGTCAGTGTAATATCCCACATCAACAAAATGGAGGGGGCAGCCACGTGATCATCTCGGCTGATGCAGACAGCTCAGTTGACAAAATTCAACACCGTTTCGTGATAAAAACACTCAGCAGACCAGGAATGGAAGCCATATATGAAAATAAAATAAAAGCCATATGTGAAAACCTACTACAAGCATCTGCTCAGTGGTGAAAGACTTAAACTTTTCCTCTAAGATCAGGAATAAAGTAGGGATGCCTGCTCTCAACACTTCTATTCAGTATGGTCCTGGACACTCTACCCAGAGCAATCAAGTGAGAAAAATAAATAAAACATCCAAATTGGAAAGGAAGAATTAAAATTATCTCTTTTTGCAGCTGATATGATCTTATCCATAGAAAACCCTAAAGATTACACACATATGCACATTAGAACTAGTAAATGAATTCAGCACGGTAGCAAGCTACAACATCAACACAAAAATCAGCGCATTTCTGTACATTAGCAATGAATGTTTGAAAAGGAAATTACAAAAAAACAATTTAGCATCAAAAAGAATAAAATACCTAGGAATTAGCTTACCAAGGAAGTGAAAGCCTTCTACAATGAAACTACAAAGATTGCTGAAAGAAATTAAAGAAGGCATAAATAAATGGAAACAAACCCCAAATAATGGATTGGAAGACTTAATATTATTAAAACGCAGGGGCACCTTGGTGGCTCAGTTAAGCATCCAGCTGCAGCTCAGGTCATGATCTCACTTCTTGTGAGTTTGAGCCCCACGTCAGGCTCTCTGCTGTCAGCACAGAGCCTGCTTCGGATCCTCTGTCCCCTTCGCTGCCCCTTCCCCCCTGTTCTCTCTATCTCAGAATAAATAATCTTTAAAAAAAAAAGAAAATATTGTTAAAACATTAATATTACCTAAACAATCTATACTCAAAGCGATGCCTATCAAAATCCCAATGATGTTTTTTGCAGAAATTTAAAAACCCATACATAATTTTATATGAAATATGTCAAAACAATCTTGGCATAAAGACAGATATCTAGATCAATGGAATAGAATAGAGACCCCAGAAATAAACCCTCATGTGTGCGGTTAAAATGATGTCTAACAAGGTTGTCAGGACCACTCAGTGGGGAATGGACAGTCCTTTCAACAAATGGTGCTGGGGAAACTGCACACCCACATGCAGGAGTGACGTCACAGAGGGGCCTGCAGCCCACGTCCCTAGCAGCGCTGCTCACAACAGCTAAGATGTGAAGGAACCCAGTGTTCATTGGCGGATGGATGGATGGTGGACAAAATGTCCCTCCAACGACGGGATGTTCCTCCGCCTTAAACAGGAGGGACGTCCCGCCACCCGCCGTCATGTGGACGAGCCTGGAGGACACTGTGCTCAGTGAAACAAGTCACGAGGGGACAAGCACTGGAACGATTCCGCTTACACGAGGCCCATGAAGGACTCAGACCATAGGGACAGAAAGTGGGTGGTCGGGGTCAGAGGCTGGGGGCGGGGGAGACGGGGAGCTGGTGCTTCACGGAGCAGAGCGTCCACTGGGAAGATGAGAAAGTTCTGGAGGTGGAGGGGGGGAACGTTCACAACACTGCGAATGTACCTAATGCCACGGAGCTGCCCACATACAAAATGGTTAAAATGGTAAATTTTTTGTGTATTCTATTACATTTAAAAAATAAATAGGAACGAGCTGGTGATAGAGGCAAAAAGCTCCAGAGACCCCAGGGAGAGTGTGGCCTACAGGCTTCCAGGCAGGACTCTGAGAGATAAAATCCTGCATTAAGTCCCCCAGTTGTGTTTCCGGACAGCCACAGGAGACCAAAACTGAGCCAGAATGCTGTGCTGGTGTTTGAGGGCGCTGCTAGCGGGAAGAAGGGGTTGGGAATGACTCTCGGGCCCAGGGTGGACGGCCTCTGGAGACAGGCTGCTGTGGCCACTGCCTGCACGCAGTGGAGACGTAAAGTGGGAGGTGTCAGGGCCCCGGGTCAAGGTTGGGGTTCTTGGTGTGTGGTGCCGTTTGGCACCCAGGGTCGTGGTGAGATTGTCCGGAGGTTGGTGCGGGTGAGGGGCCTGCCTGGGGGAGGCGGAGTTGGGGGGTCAGGGGTCAGGGCAGTCTTCTCAGAGCCCCACCTGTGCCCTGCCCGCCCCCCCCCCCCCGCCCAGCCCCCAGGCAGATGCAAGGGCCTTCTTCCCCTCATCCTGACGGAGATTTGTGGATTTGTCGTCTGGGAAACAAAACAATGCGATTCCACTCCACACCTATCAGAACAGCCCAGGTCCAGAGCTCTGACCACCACACTCGGGGAGGGTATGGAGCCACAGGAAATCCTGTTTGTGGCAGGAGGGAACTTAGGAGGGGGCACGACTTTGCAAGACAATTTGTCAGTCTCTTACAAAACGAATTATACACTTATCATGTGATCCAGCAGTCGAGCCCCAGTGCTCGCCCGAGTTAGCTGAAACCTTAGTCCGCACACGTCCCTGCACATGGGTGTTCGTAGCAGCTTTGCTCATAATTGCCCAAACTAAGAAACAACCAAGATGTCCGTAGCGGGTGACGGCACTAAACGGTGGTCACCAGACAGTGGGGTCTAACTTGGGCCGGAGAGGGAAGCGAGCTGTGAAGCGTGAGAAGGCCTGGGGGGACCTTAGATGCGCTCGCTAAGGGACAGAAGCCAATGTGATTCCGGCCGGAGGACATTCTGGAGGCGGTGGGGCCCCAGGGGCTGTGGGGGTGGGGGCGGGGGAGGGTGAAGGCCTGGGGCCCGGGCGGTTTCAGGCAGTGTGGCAGCCCTGTGTGGCACCAGCGTGGGGGTGCCCCGCAGGATGCGCACCGAGGGCGACCCGGCCGTGGCCTCGGGTGACGACGTGTCAGCTCCCGCAGGTGCCCCCCGGGTGGGGGTGTGGACGGGGGGGTAGGGGGACGTGCGACATTTCTGTGCCTCCCTCAGCTTTGCTGTGAGCCTAGACCTGCTCAAAATAGTGTTTTTTAAAAAGAAAAGAGAAAGACCATCTGAAGAGCCCATCGTAAGGTAAGAGGAACGGGCTTGGCCAAGAGGTGGACTGAGGTGGGGAGACAGGTGCTCTGTGGTGACAACAGCTGAGGGCCCGGTGGGGGCCGCGTGGCAGGTGTGGACCCAGGTGCTCTTGGCTCCGGGCGTGTTGGGGCGGGGTGCTCCCCACCTGTGCCCCCTGGAAACGGCCCGTCGGCCACGGGCCACTGACTGTGTGGCCCGAGCGGCGTGGCTGGCACAGACCGGAGGCCACGTGTGCTGAGCGCTGTGCTGTGGCACCCTGACTCAAGCCTTCTTCTCCTGCCAGCTGGACATTTTATGCAACGAGGAGATCCTGGGCAAGGACCACACGCTCAAATTTGTGGTTGTCACCAGGTGGAGATTCAAGGTGAGAACTGTCACTTTGTAAAGACTGGGTTATTTGATTTTCTGATTCTGCTACAAAGGGCAACTACTTTTCTGTGCATATTTCCCACTAAGAGCTTAGAAATAACAACTCAGTCACAGGATTATTCTGGAATCATCAGCACCAGAGCTGGTGTGGCGGGGGGCCTCAGGCGAGCACCACCCCTTCTGGCCAGAGTGCCTGACCCCAGTCGGCTGCAGGGGTCAGAGGATGCCCACAGGCCTTTGGGTCCCCCTCTAACGCAGGAAGCAGACGGCAGGATCTCCGAGTTGAGGGGCAGCCCGGAGAAGGGGGTGACAGCCAGTAGGACCCCAAGAGGAAAGGCGGGACCGGGTGGGGCAGCAGTGTGCGGAGGGAAGGAGCCTGGCCCGCCCCTTCCCTGCCTCCGCAGCTGGCGGTGGTGACGGTGACGTGGTGACGGTGGTGACGGCGCCACGCTCTGACTTTGTCTTACAGAAGGCGCCGCTCCTGCTGCACTACAGACCCAAGATGGACCTGCTCTGAGCCCGGCCCTGGGCTGGCCCCGCCCCGCCAGGCCGCGGCCGGCAGGCTCCTGGGGACCAGATTTCTGAACAGAGTATTTATAACTTTTGTATGAGAGAACTCACACTCAACGAGACACTACCAGCACCGCGGTTACGAGATGACAAAACACTTCACTTCACAGTCTTAGCGGCCGAAGAGGCGCCTCTCACAGACTGGACGGGAAACACAGCGGCCACGCGACCTTCGCTTGCTTTCCAGGCCTTGGAAATCTGGTCATTTGAGTTCGATTGATGAATTAGGGTTCACAGTAAGCCTCGAAAATACTTTATGTTTATTGAACCCTTCCTAAGTTATTGAGAAAATATCTTTTCATGGTGAATGATGATATTTATGTTGCCTTTAGCTTCCTGAAGACTTAGAAGGTATATAAAGGTTTAATTTAAAAGCATACCAAAAGAGGTTTCCATTAATGAGTTAGCCACGGTATTTAATTTTCCACATTAGGAAACAGGAAAGGCCGAGAGCTCCCCTGCCTCCCCTCCCCTGGGCTCCGAGGGCCACTCAGCCCTGAGGCGAGAGAGGGTCCCCCCCCCACTCCCTGCCACGCCCCCCAGACGCGGGCACACGCAGGTGGCCCGGTGCGCCGGGCAGGAGGGCCGGAGGCGGCACACTGGTTGGCAGAGCCGTCCTTCTTCTTCAGCCTCACCGGGGGGAGCGGGGCTGCTGTGCTCGGGGCCGCCGCTTCGCTCGCCTGCTTAGTTCTCCCCGTCTTCGTCTTGCTGAAGGCAGAGGTGGCAGCCGTGTGAGGGGTTCCCGGTGGACGAGGGCTGGTGCCACGGGCGTGCGGGCTCCGATCCGCACCGCGGCCGCCCTGCTTGTGCACGAAGCTCGTGCACCCTGTGGCTGCCCGCAGCAGGCGATGCGCCCTCAAGCCAAGCCTGGGGGGTGCCTGCTGGCTGCCTTTTCGGTGACTTAACGTCCTAAAGTGCCAGTCACAGGCAGCACACGCTTTGTCAACCCCTTTCTCCTCCCAAATGTCAATATTTTTGTGGAACTAAAGAATAAATATTTCCTTGAAAGTAGTAACTTGGAACGTGGGAGGCAGGAAGGAGAAGGGAACCACTTTCTGGGGCAGTGGAGGCGTTGCCCCGGGTTCTCTGTCCGTCCTCGCCCTCTGCACCCGCACCGCTTTCTCAGAGAGCTTGGCGTTCCACCGCCCTCGCCCGCCGCCTCCGCTCACCCTGCAGGCAGGCGGGGGGGCCTGGGTCCATCAGCCCCCATCCACCGCCTCTGTTCACGGACCGTGTCACCTTACTCACTAGCATTTTTCCCTCCAATTTGCTTTGAAAGTTATGGTGGGGTTTCCTCTGCTTCCCATTTCATACACGTAGATGTCAGGAGCGGCCACTAACGAGACCTAATCTTGGTGACGAGAAAACCACTCAAATTAATTCAGTCCAAGTGATTTTAACGTAAGGCCTTTTACACACATAAAAACAGATTATTGGGGATTGGCCAAAATTCATATCTTCATTTAAGCCCATTAACTCCCAGTGCTGTTTGAATTGTTCAGTTACCTAAGCTTGCTATTCATCCAAATCGTGTTCTAGAGTTGCTCTACTAGGGTTAATGAGTAGATGTGTATGAGCAAATATTACCTGTCTACCTCAGAATACACATTACTGCTGAAGCACTCTGCACCACCACACGTTACCACAGTGCGGTTTTCGGGTTAGCGTTAGAACTTGGGTATTTTCCTGGGTAGTGGAGGAGGGGAGGGTTAAACAGTGTAAGCATCCACATTCAAACAAAATCGACTCACGGTTCAGATTAGACTGAGTATCGCTGTAATAATCTCATAATATATATTTGTAACTTTGTAGCTATCTTTGAAATCACTTGAATCTGCTATGGTGCTAAGTGGACGTACTTAAATACACAGAGAGGTGGACGCAGGGCTGACGCGGCCGGCGGGCGGCTGGCCCTCCTGTGACCCCCTTTTGTAACCGTGTCAACCTGACGAAACCTCAGCAGCAGAAGTACCTATTTTTCTAAGATCCCTCACGCAGACTGTCTTCGCTGCAGGACGGCCCCGGGGACCCCCGCCCCCCAGCTGACGGGAGCCCAGAGCCTGCGTCCCAGGGCAGCTTCCGTGGCCCCTACCCCGCCGTCATGCTTTCGTTTCACATCATAAAGCTGAATTTAATTTCCAGCATGAAAGCCAGGATCAGTTAGTGATTGGATCCTGCTAAGTTTTTTCTTTTAACAGATGGAGTTACTGTGAAGTAGTTTTCACGCCTGTTCATGCTGGTAAAGCAAGAGCCGCTCAGTTACCTTCCTGCGTCACCGGCACCGGCACCGGCACCGGCACCGGCAGCGGGATGCCCTGCCCGGCACGTGGTCTCGCTAAACGCAGTTTTCATGAAAATAGAAAATTCAGATAGAATATATAAATATTGAATTTAAGATTTGGGGGGTTAAAGAAAAGAAAACTTAACTTTATAAAATTATTTATTCTATTTTAAGCCTTCTATCATATTTTCCCATCCGATTGTTTGGTTTCCGTGGTCCAGCTTTATTTACAGGCATATAAGATGAAATTGTGACATGTTTTGCAAGCTTCTTCTTTTACTTTGAGTAGCTTTTAATTTGTACGTTTTGTTCTATATAGCTGAGGAGCATTGTTTATGCTTTTGTGCAATAGGTCCCAGGATGCGTTTATTAGACATCTGTTTAAGTTGTAATGTTGCATCTCTTCTGCTAAATTGAAAGGGAACGTAGGTGGAATTTCAAAATATGTACATTCAGCTATTTGGCTTTCCTTTTCATTGTTGTTATAAGAATGCTGTTTCTGGGGATGGTTTGTGTGTGTGCAAGAATGCCTGTCAGCAATATTTTAGGGCGCGAGACCGGGCAGGCTGCCGTGAGGTGGTGCGTGGCCATCCTGGACCGGCCTCGCGGCCGCCCCAGGTCTGCTATTTTCAGACCCCGAGTGCGGCCCTTGGATGCCCCACCCCATGTCGACCAGAGCACGGATGTGTGGGTGCTATTTTCCCCGTGGGCTCCCGAGCCCTCTGGGGCGTGTGGCCTCTGGTGCCTCCTTGTGGCGAAGTCTTTAGCGATCCATTTCCTTTTATCCTCAAAGCGCACAGGATGGCATTTTACAGCAATTTAAAATGTGTCATTGGATTGAATGTTCCAGGAACGAGCCAGCTGATTTCTACTTTATACGTGAGTATTAGATGTGCTTTTAAGACACTGAAAATAAACTGAGCTCAGATAAATCAGAACAGACCCCGTTTCTCTGTTTCCTCAGGAAGTCATTTACACTCCACCACATCACATGTGACCTTAGCGCCAGAAGCCAGTGTGTCTCTCTGCCTTGGCATTTAACAGACTACGTTAAGTTGAGATAAGTAGATTAGAAAACCATTATTCAAACCAGCCGTAATCTTTCCAGATTCTGTCCCTGTGAGGCAGGGATGGGTGTGCGGAGCAGCCGCCAGGCCACCAAGGAGGCTCTGCTTGTGCAAATGCCCACCCACGCTCGGCCTGCATCACGTGTGGTTCGCCACATCCACGAGCACATCTGAAGGACGGACTGCAGTTTGGGTGTCCCCTAAAATGTGTGTAGCGTTAGTGTAAATGTCTGTTCCAACAACTGATTTGGGTATAAGAAAACCATTTTTTCCCAAGTGACGTAGGGTTCGGTGTGAGCCACCACTGACCTGACCGCCACACGTGGCAACATGGAGGCTGTCGCGGTGTATTGAGATGACAATGCAGATACATATTTTTGACTGTTTAATTTGAAAGTTTACATTTTTTATGCTTTGTGTTGGTGTGTAATTTTTTGTACTATTGGTGGCTAGTTTTTGTCTAAAATCTTTTTTGGAATATTGCTTCAATGTTTTGATTTTATGATAGTGAAGCTTGTACTCAGTGTTTTGCCAAAATTAATATTATATGCTTGTAATAAAAGCAAAAGAAAAACTTACCTAAAACTTTTTCGGGCTGGAAATTTATCATCTAAGATATCTGTAAGAGCGTAAGAGGGATGGTCTCTTAGGCACTGCAGTGGAATGAGAATTAATTACCACAGGTGCTGCGGGCACACACCCGCTCCTCTCCCCGCCCTCACCCCGTCCTGAGGCCTCACGGATTAGCTGCCTTCACTCGGCCTCATGCGGCACTTGAATCCTGGATGCAGAACTTCACTGACATTGGTCCAGAGTTTGATACCAGAGGTTTGGCGGGAACTGTGTTTCAAGTCCACACTGCTCATCTGTTTGCTTGGAGTAGGAACTCACTTTGGTTTAGAGCTGCATGTGCCGATGAAAGTACTGTTAAAAAAAAACAAAAAAACCTGTTAATCCCTGTGGGTGGGTTGACTGACAGTATCTTCTTCCCTTTGTAAAGGTGTTAGTGGGGTTCTCCAGAGGAGCAGAGCCAGCAGAAGATGCTGCGTGTGCACCTCTGTGTGCATGTATGTTCATGAGCATGCCAGGGCGCACACACAGGTCACGATTTCCCCACAACAGCAACTTTATTCAGCCGTAAAGCAAGGTTAAAGCAGGTTTAGGGTTCCAAACTCAGTGACATTTCATTACACATTTAATTTGGCTTCATACACAGCACACAAAGCAAGGCAGGCACATAAGAAATCATTAAAAAACAAGATACAACAAGGGATAAGAAGTTAAACCAAATGCAAAGTCAGTCTGTGTGCAGTTGGGTTGAGGAATTGTTCAGATCCTGTGCCCTACTTATTCAGTCCAAGTCCTGGAGGGTCTCTGTTCTGTCCAGGCAGCAGGGGATCTGTTGTGTCCAGGCAGCAGGGGATCTAATCTGTCCAGGCAGCGGGGGATCTGTTCTGTCCAGGCAGCAGGGGGTCTGTTCTGTCCAGGCAGCGGGGGATCTGTTCCGTCCAGGCCCTGGGAGGATCTCTGTTCTGTCCAGGCAGCAGGGGATCTGTTGTGTCCAGGCAGCAGGAGATCTGTTGTGTCCAGGCAGCAGGAGATCTGTTCTGTCCAGGCAGTAGGGGATCTGTTCTGTGCAGGCAGCGGGGGGTCTGTTCTGTCCAGGCCTTGGGAGGATCTCTTTTCTGTCCAGGCAGCGGGGGAATCTATTATGTCCAGGCAGCAGGGGATCTGTTCTGTCCAGGCAGCAGGGGATCTGTTCTGTCTGGGCAGCGGGGGATCTATTATGTCCAGGCTGCGGGGGGTCTGTTCTGTCCGGGCAGTGGGGGATCTCTGTTCTGTCCAGGCAGTGGGGGATCTATTATGTCCAGGCAGCGGGGGGTCTGTTCTGTCCAGGCCGCGGGGGATCTCTGTTGTCTCGGCAGAGCAGGGGCTCTCTTTTCGATCGGGCGAGCACACGTCTGTGCTCCGGTCGCGGTAGTCGAGCTCGTTTGCCGTCGTGGGCGGGAAACTTTTCTCTCNTGTCCAGGCAGCGGGGGATCTGTTCTGTCTGGGCAGCGGGGGATCTATTATGTCCAGGCTGCGGGGGGTCTGTTCTGTCCGGGCAGTGGGGGATCTCTGTTCTGTCCAGGCAGTGGGGGATCTATTATGTCCAGGCAGCGGGGGGTCTCTGTTCTGTCCAGGCAGCGGGGATCTGTTCTGTCCAGGCAGCGGGGGATCTGTTCTGTCTGGGCAGCGGGGGATCTATTATGTCCAGGCTGCGGGGGATCTGTTCTGTCCGGGCAGTGGGGGATCTCTGTTCTGTCCAGGCAGTGGGGGATCTCTGTTTTGTCTGGGCAGTGGGGGATCTATTATGTCCAGGCAGCAGGGGATCTCTGTTCTGTCCGGGCAGCGGGGGATCTCTTTTCTGTCCAGGCAGCGGGGGATCTATTCTGTCCAGGCCTTGGGAGGATCTCTTTTCTGTCCAGGCAGCAAGGGATCTCTGTTCTGTCCGGGCAGTGGGGGAGCTATTATGTCCAGGCAGCAGGGGATCTCTGTTCTGTCCGGGCAGCAGGGGATCTCTGTTCTGTCCGGGCAGCGGGGGATCTCTGTTCTGTCCAGGCAGCAGGGATCTGTTCTGTCCAGGCAGCAAGGGATCTCTGTTCTGTCCAGGCAGCAAGGGATCTCTGTTCTGTCCGGGCAGCAGGTGATCTGTTCTGTCCAGAGACACTTGGGGAGAGCCTGAGATGGCAGTTGCCCTCTGATATGATCAGACCTGAAAGGGTCAGCATCAGACATGAATGGGAATCAACAATTTGCCCCAAAAGTCCTCCTTCTTAAAGGAGGCTAATCCTAAAAAAGTAAAATTAAATTAAAAAATAAAGGAGGCTAAGCCTTTAAGAGGCATTTCGTGGCCTCTTCTGGTTCCGCTGGTTATCGGCTGAGTGACATCAGCCTGTGCTGGTCTTAGCGGTTCCTGGTCTGGCTGTTGCATCACTGCTTGACCTGAGTGACTCCATCATTCTCTCTGCACGTATGTAAAGGGAGGCTGATCACAAGGAGTTTGCTCACAGGATCGTGGAGGCTGAGACACCCAGAAGGACCTGTATAGTGCAGTCAAGGGCAGGAGAGGCCACACCCCGATCCCGGTGGTCAGGCAGGAGCCACCCCCCACCCCCCGCCTTCCTGTTCTACTCTCGCCCTCCAGGTCTCGGGCGACACCCGCCCGCACTGGGGGGTCAGGTCTCGGGCGACACCCGCCCGCACTGGGGGGTCAGCCCACCAAACCAGAGGCCCCTCTCATCCCGACACACCCAGAGTCGTTTCAGTCCAGGCACCTCAGGCCCCATGCAAGCAGACACCCGAAATTACCCATGACAGACAATTTCCGGGGGGGGGGGGACTATGCCCAAAACTTTTAAATTTTAAGAAAATTGTTAAGTTTAAGTAGTTTACAGAAATCTTGAAAATCTGAAAAAACTAGAGCTGAAAAAACAGAGAATATGATGACCAAAGTTGTATTTCCTCATGGGTTTCAGATCTATAAACTTGAAAGATAATTTAGTGCAAGAAACTGACTTTGCTTCTTTTACTTGCTTTTGTTAAGTGGGGTTTTCATCTTACGAATGTCAAGTTATCAGCTAACACCCCACGCAGACGTTCGTGTTCACCCGGATGCCGAGCTCCGCGGCCGGGAGCAGCAGCGATGGGCACCTCCAAGGTTAGGCCCCCGCTGCTGGTCACCCACGGGGGCAGATTTTGAAGTCTGTGCAGCAGGCGGGGGTGGTAGGCACCAGCGCTCTGAGACCCTCCTGGCTCCAGAGACCAGTTAATGCCCCCAGAAATGTGACTGGGGAAGAATGAGAAGGTGACTGGGCCTGCCTGTGCAGGCCTCCAAGGGCTGTGTGTGACCATCTGCTGCTGTCACCTGCACATCTTACTGGCGGTCTTACTCCTTCAGTGTGAATCTGTGTGGATGAAAATATGTGAGTCCCGGTTTAACTGTAAGAGCTATTACGGGGTGCCTGGGTGGCTGAGTAGGTTAAACGTCTAACACTTGATTTCAGCTCAGATCATGATCTCCTGGTTCATGAGATCAAGCCCCAAGTCAGACTCTGCACACGCATCCCAAGTGTAGCAGGTGCGTGCCGAAGAAACCACACTGGCTGGACCTCGGCCCGCACAGAAAGGCCTTAGTATCTCAGGAGCACACAGCACAGCACAGCCAGACGCCTGCACCCTACCTCTGCGCGGCCGAGAATAAATGTCTTCCTTGGATTTTTGGTTCTTCAGAATGAAAATCCCAGTGGATACAACAAGACCCCTGGGGGGGCGGCTGTGGCCAGACCTGCAGGTTATAGGGGCCCCATAGCCTTTTCGCGGGAATGCCCTCCCCTGGCTGTACTGACGAAGTACGTCTGCTCACCCAAGTCACCTGCAGGACGCAGCCCAGCCCGCCGTCAAACACCGAAGCTACCCTGTGGCACATGGGTCGTATTTTGTACCTTTTGCTCTGATGTACATGACCGTGAGAGGCTCTCCTCAACTCCTGAGGAGAGGGATCTGCCTGTCTCAGCCGCGCGCACGATAATCGGTAGCGCTCTCAGCACTCTTGTAAGCTTCCTTTTGATTAAGCTGGACTTTATTTTGGAATGAAAAATAAATTATTTGACTGTCACATTTATTCCTACAGGTTTTTTAAAAAATTTATTGGGGTACTGTGAAAACAAATTTGCTGCCCTAAGAACATTTTTGGTCAGAAATTTTTTGAAAGATAAAATTTATTTTTCATAAATTGACCAAGTATAAAAAATGTCAGGCTAAGAATATACTCTTGTTGGTGGGAAATCACTTCTTTAAATTCTTGGGGAGCACAAAATGGGCTTAGT